TAAGATGGGCCGCTGAACTTCAGAGTTGTATTTGAGAGACAATCTGGTACAATCAGTATCTGTGGGGAAAAAAGTCCTTCCATAACATACTTGCCACATATGCCATACCTAGCCTTTACTCAGAGACCTTAAGTGAAGGGGAACCCATTGCCTTCCATGGTGCTTCCCTTCATATTTAGATAGCTCTGATTGTTAGGAAGTTTTGTCTTACAGCAAATCTAAACCTGCCTCTTTCTTTTACCTCTTCTGGTTCTGCCTTATGAGACCAAATAAAACAATTCTAATCCTTCTTCCCCAAGATAGCCCTTCACATACGTGAAGACAGTGGTCATGCTTCCCCCTTAGCCTTATCTCATCTCCAGGTTCAATATCCCTAAAGCTTTTTCCTCCAATAGTTTGAATTCAAGGCCCTTGAGCCTCCTAATTATCCTCCTCTATAAACTCTCCAGCTTATCAATGCCCTTCCCAAAATGTGGTGCAAAAACTGAATACATTTATATTGTAATCTACTTATTCCTAGAACTGGTATCTTTCTTAACAAAAGATAAGATTGCATCAGCCTTATGGCTGCTAGATCATACTAGTGATTCATACTAAGTGTGTTGTCCACTAAACCCTCCCCAGACCTTGATTAAAAAAAAAGCTTTTGAAGTTAAAATTCCCCATTAGAGAAGTTCTCACCCACCCACCCACCCTTCTCTGACTGTGAGTGCTGTATAACCGTGTGTTTTAAAAATTGGCAGTTTCCAGAATGGAGTTGCATTCTGCTTTTCAGAGATCTCCTAGTCCTTAGTAGCCATGTCTGAAAATAGAAATAAATCCTCTGTAATGTAATGAGTGTCCCATTTCAACAAGTGTTCAGACAAATGCTCGGCATTATCTGCCTGGGAGCATTAGAGTGAATTAGTTGGTTGCATAAGGGTTGGACCAGGATTTCTTCTAGAACTGGGTGTTTGTGATCTCGTATGTCCTGCCATGGCAGTAAAGACCTTGAGCATCTTTCCTTCTTGATACTCTTCTTGTGATGTCAAATCATGTGTTGCCCTCTGACCTCAGCTGTCATTTATAATCCTTGTGCTTTCACTCACCAGTCCTGTCCCACTGACATTACAAGGTTGTTTTTAGAACAAATGCAAGTTTTATGAGAGGCTTTGGAAGAGGATAAACCACTATGCCACTGTAGGGCTGTTTTTTAAGCTGAGCAGCAGTAATGGCGGTACTTTTCTCTCACTACTCTGTGTCTTGTGAATCACTTACTGGTCAGTGATGCTGACCAGTGGGACTCAGCATCCAGGGATGCTAGGTTGCCTACAGTTCTTCATATTACTGAGATTTACCTTGTTCTGAGGTTACTCTGCATTATTCCCTTCTTTATGAATGACCTTCCCTTTTCCTCCTGATTATCCAAATCTTGTCCATTTTTCAGGGCCCAACTTAAGTCTTATCTCTTTTGTGAAGTTTCTGTGATCACCACAGTCCCACTGATCTTTCCTCTTCTCTGATCATTGACTTGAAAGCAGAAGGAAGCCCTAGGGCTCATCTAGTCAAGCCCCCTCACTTTGAAGATGTAGAAACTGGGACCTACAGAGATTAAGGTCTCATAGGTAGTTTAGTAGCAGAGCAGAGATTTGAACCCACTTCTTCTGACTAGAAATCTCGTGTCTCATTCCACCACACAGTTTAGCACTTGTTAATCTGTTGTTGTCTTCTGTTATTCGGTGTTGCTCCATGTGATTTAATTTTGCCTCTCCAACTAGATACTAAACTTCTTGGTCTCTACTGTTCTTTCCTTTGATTCTTTGGGACCTGTCGTAAAGACTTCTTCATCCCCTGCATTGCCTAGTTGCTTAAATCACACCCAGGACTTTTTAGTAGAATGGTAGTGCTCTAGCCCTTGAATCTCTAGCAGTTACCTTCAGTGTTATTTCCAAGGATTGTCTAAGCCAAAATCAGTTCATAGTCTGCTATCCCCAGTTCTGTGATCCTTAATGGTTTAGCATTGTATTCCTATTCTGCCTTCTCAATAAATCAGTCAGTTCATAATTTCCAGCAACAGCTTGGTTTTTTATTTAAAACCCTACGTTTTGTTTCCTGTTCACCAGCATCCAGTGTTATTCAACCACAGATACAAGTAATTATCCTTTAAAAAAATTGTTATCTTTTATTTTTACATCACCATAATTTCCAGATGTATTTTTCTTCCCTCCCATCCCTAGAGAACCAAGCTCTTGTAACAAAGCATTTTTATTTTAAAGCAGACAGAAAAGCAGTTCAGCAAAGTTAACCAGAAAATCAAAGCTGATTCTATGTCCAGTATTCTATACTCATGCTTTCTCATCTCTGGAAAAAAGCAATGGCAGAGCATTTTCTCTTCTCTTTTTCTCGTGACGAGTTTGACCGTTATACTTACAAAGTGTTTGGTTTCATTGTTTTTGTTCTTTCCATTTATATTTTTGTAGTCACTGTGTATATTGTTTCTGTGATTCTGCTTTAGTTTGCATCAGTTCATAGAAATTTCCCCATGCTTCTTTATATTCTTCATATGTATCATTTCTTACAGCAAAGTAATATTCCCTTAATGTAGCTTGATTTTTTCTAAGCCATTCACCCATCCCAAGTGATTATTCTAAATACCGTTCACTGCCCTATAGGTAATCCATTTTACTTCTCTCTGCAGCCCAGTAAGCGCTCTGCCACTGAATTATGTGGAAGGAATGATGGAAACATCAAAGTAATCTTTCCAGACATAGAGATGGAAGATGGCACTAACCCTGCGGGCCTAATCCGAGCCCAGCCAGGAGACTATGTGATAGTGAAGGTATGGATCCATTTTTAATTTAATTTTGCTTTAGAAGATGAATGTTTTATTTTTCTATTAGACATGTTTAATCATTTCAGCAATTTCTGGCATGACATTTATACTACAGAAATCCTCAAAAATGTACTTCTCAGTTCTTACTTGACTCAGTGCTACTTGATGCTGTGTTTGCAGCAGTCAGGGGCAAGGGAAGTTGGAAAATACAACTTACCATTGCCTCAGTACTCTTCCTGGCAAAGAGCAGGACATATGGAAATGGAAGGAGGGGTAGAAGGAAATGCAGTTTCTTTGCTTCTCTACCTTTCCCCTCTCCTACTTTAAAGGAGATGGGAGAATAAACTCTGTTCTGTCTCTACTCTTCTTTTTTTGTTCCCTTTTTTAGGCAGTTGGGGTTAAGTGTCAAGTGTCTGGTCTGAGGCCGGATTATAGTTTAACCACTCTTTTTTTCCTTTTCTTTCTTTATTTTATTTTTTTGCAAGGCAGTTGGAGTTAAGTGACTTGTCCAGGGTCACACAGCTAGTAAGTGTCAAGTGTCTGAGACTGAACTTGAACTCAGGTCCTCTTGTCTCTAGGGCTGGTGCTTTATCCACTGCGCCACCTAGCTGTGATCTTCACTCTTCTTACAGTTCTCCATTCTTGTTTCTATTCTTCACCACAGAGCCCTCACTCCTGTCTCTTCTCTCCAGCCCTTGTATAATTCTCCCTTGACTTGCATCCCAGTTCTTCACTTCCTGTCATATTCCTCTGCCTTTTCTTTACTATTCACTTCTCCATCCCTTTTTCCTCTTTCTGCAAGCCCCTACCCTCCAGAGCATCACCAGAGCATCTCTCTCTGTAGGTTTTCCTGTATGGATTCTCTGGGGCTCCTGAAACTTGGAATTCCCTAGTGGCCACCACACTTCTTTTCCACAGTAATCCTTTGCCCAAAGAGCTACAGATGAATTCTTTATGAATTGATGCTTTTGGCCCAGTTGACTGTGTTTTTTTCTTGGATGGCTTTTTTTTCCAGATCACCTCTTCCAACTCCCAGATCCTGAAAGGGGTTGCTCTGTGCCGAACATCTCTGCGGGAGTACTCAGCACATTGCTGACCTGAATTGCCAGCCACAGAGTTCTTCTGGATGCCCACTTGTTAGTGAAGTTGTGAGAAGATACTTGCATCTGTAGATTGGACTAGATACTCTCCGAGGTCATTTCCAACTCTGAAATTCTGTGATAAAATGGTGCTGACCAGGTTTTGCCAAAGAGAAAGGGAGAAGTGACTGGTTACAGCAGTGGTATTTCTCTGACAGGAAGTAAGTTTATGTCAAGTGGAAAATGAATCTTCTGGATTCATTTGCTAGATGGAAGCATCTCTAAGAATTACTATTAAATGATTCACCTGCAGCTAAAACGTTTCTCTTTTTCCCTTTTCTCTCATGTAATTTTTCTTTGGTTAGGTTTTTGGGAACTCTGAAATTTAGTCAGCTCTTTGTTTTGTCTCCTCAACATCAATTAATTTTCTGATTTAGTTGATAAGTAATAGATGGGTTAATAGATAATCTTTCACCTCATCTTGCAGGGCACCAGGACTCATAGCACTTCCTGGATATCTGTACCCCATGCTGCCACAAATATTCCCCTTTATTCTCCCTTCCCGACGCCATTGTGTCCTGTCCAAACCCCGCGCCACCCTCCCCACCTCCCCCCATGTGTAGTGACTTCTCTTGATTGAATGTAGACTCTTTGAGGGAAGGACCATCTTAAGTTTGTATCCCTAGCGCTTACACAGTGCCTGGTACATAACACTTTCACTCTTCTCCCCTTCTCCTTTCTCTTTCTGTCTCTATCTCTGTCTCTCTGTCTCTCAACTTAACCACTGAGTGCACAGTTAAGCATTAAAGAGACCTTTAGAGGTAATTTAATCCAATTCCCGAGAACCTGGAGCTTAAGCAACTATAGTATTCCTAGCAAGTGTTTGTCCAATCTCTGTTTTAATACCTTTAGTGATAGGGAATTCATTGCTTCCAGAGGCAGCCCATTACATTTTGGGATACCACTTATTTTTTTTTCCCCTTGATAATTAATTAATTTATTTTTAGTTTTCAACATTCACTTCCATAAGATTTTGAGTTTTAAATTTTCTCCCCCTTCTTTGCCTCCCCCGCCCCCAAAGACAACATGCAATCTGGCATAGACTCTACTTATACATTAATATTAAGCGTATTTTCCCATTAGTCATGATGTAAAGAACAATTAGAACTAATGGGAGGAACTTATTTTGAAGTAAAATGTGTTTCACTGTAGTTTTCACCCCTACCCCCATTAGACCTAGTTCTACCCTCTGAGACCAAGAACCAATCTAATCCCTTTCCTACATGGTAATCCTTTAAGTAATTGAAGGCAGCAATCTTATACATCCCCACTAAATCTTCTTTTCAGGTTAAACTTCCCTCGTTTCTCCAAGTGATCCATATGACATTCTTTCAAATCCCCTTCCCTCCTGATCACCCACCACTTTATCAATATGCCTCCTAAAACATGATGTGGAGAATTAAATGTTTTTATTCAAATGTGGTTTGATGGGGGCAGAACCCAATAGGACTATCTTCTCATTCATTCTGAAAATTAAACTTCCGTCAGTGAAGGCCCGGACTTCATTAGTGCTGTGTTTGGTTACTCTGCCACGCTACTGACTTGTAATGAGCTTGCTGTCCAGAAACGCTTCTACATCTCTTGCATGTGAGTGATCTTATCAAACTTCCCATTTCCTGTTTTTGTGCAGTAATTAAGGAAGTAAGTGTGGTAAGAAAGCCGTTTGGCCTGCTCCATTTCCTAGTCTGTGATGTACATTAAATCAGTATGGCTGATTACCCATGTCCCAAACGACTGATACTTTTACTAATAATTAGCCACAGATAAAATCCCCCTATTTTTAGAAAATTAAGGAAATGAGTCACTTTTTTTTTTGCGAAGAAATGGGGTCATTTATTGAGTAAACACTGATGGAAATGCAAAAAAGTACACGTTGCCAAGCATACTTATAGCTTTTCACCCATTTGTTTAAAAACGATGAGTTAGAATCAAGTACCAGTAGGTAGTTATGCTTTGATACTCAAAAACTCCTGCAATCATGTGAATGTTCTTGGCTCAGAACGTCAGAGAAAACAGGTATGTCAGGACTTGTTGGTCTTGCAGCACTCTTCTGGTGAAGACTGGAAAAACTCATCCTGGCTTCAGGTGAGTTGGTTTATTTACTTGCTACCAGGTGACCCTGTGGAGGTAGGAGAAGAGAATGATAATTGTTGACGATGTAACTTCTTATGGTTACAAAGTACTTAACATGCATTGGCTCATTTGTTCCTTACAACATCCGTTTGAGATAGATAGCTTCAGTAGTAGTATCATTATTCTATGTATTAGAAAACCTAGGCTCCAAGAGGCTGTGATTCTTGAAGGTCAAACACTTGGTAAATGGTGATATGAACCTGGGTATCCATTGTTCTTCCCACTACACTATGCTAAGCATGAATCTTCATGAAACCAAGAAATAGATACTTTTAGGAATTTTGTTTCTGTGATAATTATTTCCATGAGAAACAGTTATGATGATAAAGTGAGAGGACCAGGGAATGAGGTGGTATCATGATCATCCTGACCAGGAAGAGTGATACCTGGCTTTTGAGACCTTCTGTTATCTGGCCCTACCCTGTCTCACATTTTCCCATTCAGATCCTCCTCCTCCTCCCACCCAAACCCCCAGCACCTAACTGAAGTGTTCTCCTTCCAGCTTTTTTTAAGATCCCACTGATTCTTCAGCTCACCTTATTTCTCCAGAAAACCTTCCATAGGTATCCCAGTCTCAATGCCTCTTGAAATGATAGTAGTAGCACACCCAGTGTAAATATCCCATTCAGTGTCCCCTGTATGTGATTTGCTTAATGAGCAAATGGATTTATATCTTCCACAGTGTTAGGCACAGGCTCATGGGACTCAGAGTTGGAAGGGCTACTATTTGATCAGTCAACAAACAGTTATTGAGCACCCACTGTATGCCGGGCGCTACTTAGACACTGGGACTGCAAAACCAAAACAAATACGCTCTGCCCTCAAAGGAAGGGGTAGAAAACATGCACCTATCTAAGTATATATGCAACAAACAAAATAACTTTGTGGGGGAGAAATGTAATAGCTAGGAGGACTGTGAAAGACCTCATCCAGAAGATGGCATTTGAAGGCAACCCATTACATTTTTGGATACCTCTAATTTTTAAGGAATTTTTTACTTTGAAATAAAATGCGTTTCAAGGGTACATGTAGAAGGGCTGGCCTTGTGGAGGAGAAAGATGTTGTCTTCCTCAGAGACTGGAGTGAAGGAGGAGAGTGGGGAACATTAGTGGGTGATCTTCATTTTCTCGATGGTTCTTTCTCCCCATTTTTACCGAGGAGGAAAACTGATTTACCAAAAAGGGGAGTCACTTGTCTGAGATTACGTTCTGAGTGGCAAAACTGGAACTAGAATCAAGGTCTGGAGCTAGATTCTGTGCTTTCCCCCTGCCTCACACTAGTTCAACTAAGGTCACAGGTGCAAAAGCAAAAAAACCTTAAAGCCTATGGTACTAGAAAGCTCAGATGAGGATGAAACAAGTGTAAATCATGCCATGTAAATCATGTGTCCCAGAAACAGGATTTCTCGTGGCTCCTTATCTAGTTTGGGTTGAGGCAAGGCAGTAAGGGAAAAAGAACTGTGGGAGGGTAGGATGTCATAGTATCATAGACTCAAAGATGGGAGGAATTATAGAGACCATCTAGTCCAATTCCATTTTATAGAAGAGGAAACTGAAGCCCAGAAAGATGAGGTAGTCCAAAGTCACACAGATAGTAACTGACAGACCTGGTACTTGAACTTAGGCCCTCTGACCGTAAATATGGTACTTATTAGACTGCTCTGTGGTGTTTCCAGGGATTAACAGAACCCTGATTCTAGCTAGGAAGAGAAATAAGGTAGATTTTAGGAGGTTGACCAAAGCCAGGAAGAGCAATACCCTGGTCTTGATAGCTCTTCTAGGGCTTCCTGGGAAGATCCCCAGGGATCCCTAAAAAAAAAAATACCCAGATTGAGCTTTCTTACCTGAGAATCAACTTGAACAGGGGCTTTGTTTAAAAGTTTAATTTCTGGACCGAATGGCACGTTCATGCGTCTTAAATGCTCTGCAATGAAAGAGAACACTCTCTTGAGATGTGAGCTCAAAGGGAATTAGGCTTAAACCTTCAATGGGTTTGAGGAGCTGAGTCGTCTCAACCAAGGCCGACTTCTGAAACAGCCTTTGTATCCCATTTGTGCACATGGAGAATGATTTCCCATAAAGGACTTATGCAACCCCGAGAGAGTTCTTAGCTCCCTCCCAGTGTTTCTATATTTGAATTAAAGCATGCCTGGATTTTCACACTAATTCTGAGTATATATAAAATCAAGATTTAGAGCAAGAAGGAAGCTTAGAGATGTTGAATCTAGCACCTTCATTTTACAGAAGAGGAAGCCAAGGCCCAGACAAGGCAAGTGACTGCCCCAAATTCATACAAACATTAGGTTTGAGAAACTCTATTTTAAGATCTATTGGGGTGTGAAGATGGAGAAACAGGGCAGATATAAGGGCACAGTTACATGGCAGTGGACTGCGCAAACTTTTGTTTGTGAAGCTGCTACTAGTGACCCACTATCAGAATGACATGTGCTCTAAGTTGTTTGTCCAGCAGTGGGGATGGACTGCATTCAACCATTCACACATTCCTTCCAGTCCTCTGGTGCCCAGTTGTTTAAGTTAGTGAGATGATGTAGGGGATGAGTTTTCTCTGTGCAGCACCCACTGGCCCCAGGCGAATACAACCTCCTTGTCTGTTTTTCTTAGCACCGCACATTTGTGGCCTGTGCTAATGGCCAGTAAGCACAAACAAGTCATTCTTTGGTGTAGGATACCAGAGGCACATATTTAACATTTGGAGTTTCTCAGGAGCTCAGTTTACATAAAATCATAGAATGGAGAGCTGGAAGGGAGCTTGGAGATACTTAGCCTGAGCCCAAGAGTTCACAGACACTGACTTGTCCATGTTCACACAAGCAGTACCAGAGCAGGGCTGAATAAAACACATCTTCAGATGCCAAATTCATGACTCTTTCCACTCTGCTGTTCTGCCTTCGGTGAGGCTGAATGAACTTGGCCTCAACCCTCTTTCAATGTTTCAATGGAATAATTCACATCTTTAAAGATTTCAAACCCAGCTTTCTTGTCCACTGTAAAGACCAAGACCTTAAATGGTAGAGTATCTAAAAGCAAGGACTGACCCTACAGTAATAGAATTAATTATGCATTTGGAAGCTATGGCATCCCCACAGTGACTTAGGCCATGCAGTTTGTCATTACTGATCCATTGGGCTGCATACACCTTTAAGTTTACAGGTAGCCAATTCAGCATACCATTTGCTTTGCTCACCAGCCTTGAAACCATCCGTTTTCCCATTTCTTTGGCAACTTCGTTCTACAAGAAGAGCAAGGAGTAATTTTTTTTTAGCATTTTAATTTTTTTAAAAAAATTCTGAACTTGACAGATGTCAAGCAAACTAGAACAGTTCCAAATACAGAAAAGAAGAAAGGGGATTATATATGAAACTGCAAATCTCTTAAGTATAGTTTGGTGTGGGGTATGCATACATGAACGTGTATATGTGCACAATAATATGATATATGGAATATAATATATAGTAAAATGCACACGTGTGTACACAAATAGTATACATCTTTATATCTATATATGATTATATCTATAGAGACAGATATATAAAGATAAGTGCAACATATTCCAAAGCTATCCTTTTTGTTGTTCTCTTTTGGATCTCCCTCTGTCTCATACATTCAAGCAAAATATTTCTGAATTTCCCTCTGTCTCATACATTTAAACAAAATATTTCATTAACTTTCTTTTTTTTCCCTGCATCATCATCACTAAACCTCCTTCAGTGCAAAGAAAACCATTAATCAAAAGTATAGCTTAGCCAAATTAATCTTCACATTAGTTATATCAGAAAAGATCTATCACTCTGCACCTCTAGACCATCACTGCTCTGACAGTGGTGGTAAGTATGCTTCCTCATTGTCCTTCTGGGTAACAATCAGTCACTGCATTGATCAGGGTACAAGAATTCATTTTGTAAGTGTTGCTGGGATAGAAATCCCTATGCCACCACTTAATAACTAAAGGTGGTATAAAGAGCTTGACCTATAGCTCAACCCACTCACTTTCAGCTGGTGATCAGTTCAAAGGGCCTCAGATTGGGAAGGAACCTCAGGCTGCCAAGAGCAGCCTCTGCTTCTGTCGGGATCTTCCCTGCGACATCCCTAGAGAGTGCTCTATTTGAAGACCTTGAGGGATGGGACTCTGGAGAGACCCTGCTCCAAATATCAACAGCTCCCTTCATTGGAAGACTTTCCTTTCTACTGATCTCTGTGCTTCTCTGTAACCTTTTTCTGTTGCTCTTTGTTCTGCTCTCTGAGGCTAATAGTTCCTAGCATTCATGTAACACTTGAAAGTCTGCAAAGCACTTGGTCCTCACAACAACCCTGTGAGGTGGATGATATTAGTACACTCATTTTACATATGGAGAAATTGAGGCAAGCTTAAATGACTCACCCAGGATCACACAGCTATTAATTATCTGAGGCACACTTTGAGCTTAGGTGTTCCTGCCGCCAAGTCCAGCACTCTATTCACTGACTCCTGGGGCCAAGCTGAACAAAGCGAAATCTTCCACTTGATAGCCCTTCAGATACTTGAAGACATTGTTCACATCCTCTTCACCTCTCCACCCCAGCCCTCAAGTCTTCTCTTCCCTACCTTCCCCAGTTCCTTGGATCGCTCTTCCCTCTCACCATCCTCATTGTCTTTCTTTAGATGTACTCCCACTTACCAATGTCTCTGCTAACTCTACTATCTGCTATGGTTGGTGGATAAAGTAACCTGGCTCATAATGAGTTCCTGTCTGTACCATAGACAGATAATCATTTTCAGAGAGCTGAAACATGATAAAGTCCATTTAAATCTAACATGATAGCCTAATTAAAACATTTGGGGATTCAGAAAACACTGGAGAGATTGGCAAAGATTTAAGTTCAATGGAGTCATGTGCTCCAGCTCACACAGTAAGCTGCCAGAACTGGAATTCATTCACATTTTAACTGAGTCCTCTGAGTGCAAAGCCTTCGCTCATTCCAGTAAAGGTTTAAGAAATGAGAAGAAGCATTTACTAAGCTCCTATTATGTTCCAGGCACTGTGCTAAATGCTTTCCAAATATTATCTCCATAGATCCTCACAACAATCCTGGGAGGTAGATATTATTATTATCCCCATTTTATACTTGAGGAACCTGAGGCAAACAGAAGTTAAGTGACTTGCCTAGGGTCATATAGCTAGTAAGTGTCTGAGACTGGATTTAAACTCACATCTTCTGGAATACAGGCCCAGTATACCGCGTTGCTTCTATTTTTATTGTATTTGAGATGGAATTGGCCCCAGCCCCATGACATATACCAGGAACTAATTAACTGTCTTTTTGATAAGTCTCTACTAGATAAGTAACACAGTCAGTTAATAAATAAGTTTGTGTTATTTTAGCTAGTTTGTTTATAGCTTATCTCTTCCAAGTAAAAATTGTCTACAGAATATGCAATTTACTGAATAAACCGTCTTTTTTTAGTTTATTTAACTCAACATCAGAAGTGTATGTAAAATAGGTTAGGACTGTCTTATCTGATCTCTTAGCTTCTCCAGGGCTTTGTACAGTGCTCTGTACCCAACAAGTACTAAATAAATGTTTGTTGAATGAATGAATTCTGCATAGTCATGGTGGAAAAGACTAGGAGTAATTGAGGGAGTTACAAGGAGATAGAATTTGACTTCATAACAGTCAGAGCTCTCCTTTGTGTGAATGGACTGTCCTGTAGCTGGAGATCTTTAGATAGAGGTCAGCTGATTATCTACTAATTATGCTGCGCAGGATTCATGCCTGACGTAGGGCACAGGCTAGCTAGCAGTTCTGAAAAGTCATTTTCAACTTGAAGATTCTATTATCCTGTAAATTTGATTGATATATAGTTTGGCCACCATTACATTTTAAAAGAATTTTTCATTTTTAAATTATTGGTGAATTTGTTCCTAATGAAAGTAAGGAATTATCTAATGACCAGGGCCTAGGGATGTTTTCTGATGTTCATCTTCTACCTTTCTTTATAAGAAGGCAAACATGATGAGAAGTACAGAGTCATGTATCCTCTCCCATAATTCCACAAGGCTATGTTCAGCCTTGTTCTAACAATGCACTTAGAGTTATCCTCAGACTGTGCCTGGAAATGTTAGCATGTTAGAGCTGGAAAGGATCTTAAAATATACAATATTAAAGCTGAAAGGGACCTTAGAACACAAATGGTTAGAGATAGAAGGAACCTAAGAATGCAGGATGTCAGAACTGCAAAGGACCTTAGGAAGCATTTAGTCACAGCCTCATAATTTCAGAACTGGAAAGGACCTCAGTGGCCATCTAGTTAAACTCATACCCTAAAAAGAATTCCCGCATGACTGATAAATGATCACCTAGCCTCTCACTGAAGATTACCAGGCAGGAGGAACTTGGCTGTTTCCCAAAGCGTCCCCATGCTGCCTTTAGACAGATAGCTCTGTTAGGTGGCTTTTCCTAATATCAAGCCTAGATTTGCCTCTTAGTAACTTCCACCACCTACTCCTACTGGCGCCAAATAGATCAAGACTAGCTCAATTCCACATTAAAGCCTTTCAAATTGAGTTTTCTCTGTGCTAAACATCCCCAATTGCTTCAACTGATTCTCTTAGGGTATATGTGCAACCACTTCATTTTAAGATTGGGAGGCTGAGGCTGAGAAGGGAAATCGCTTGTCTTTGGTCACTCAATGTTAATAGAAGATTTGGAGTTAAAGCCTTTTCTTCTGACTAGTTTTGGTGTTGATTCACCCTGCTTTCTGTTTTCTCTATTTTGGCCCATATTAATCTTTCCTTCTGAATTCCTATTGCCCTTATAGTATGCACTGTGGTCATTATTTCTTATATATGTATGTATGTATGTGTGTGTATGTGTGTGTGTGTATATATATATATACATACATATATTTGTTAAAAACAAAACTAATTGACTTACATCAGGAGGTTCTATCTTGTGTTCAGCGCTGTTAGGAAAGGAAATATAAGAAAAGGTTGGTTTTGTTTGGTGTATTTCCTCCCTCTACTAAGGTAGATTTTTTTTTTTAGATTATTGCTGTTTGTTCCCTTTCATTTCATTTCACCCAGTCTGCGATGAGCTGCATAGTTCGGGCATTCCAGTGTACATTGGGAAATAGCTAATGAAATAACTAGGTGAGTGGACAAGAGCAGATGAGTTTAAGACTTGATGTACTGCTGGGCTAATCACTTGCTAACTGCATACGGGAAAACATCTGTGATTTTGTCAGGGAAACTCCTGTTGGGAATTCTCTGCCCCAACATGGCAGATTAAATCCTCTATGATTTAGTAGATATGTCTTGTCTAGTCGCCAGAGGCAGTGTTGTTCAGTCGTTTCAGTTTTGTCCAACTCTTCATGACCCCTTTTGAGATTTTCTTGGCAAAGAGACTGGAACGATTTGCCATTTCTTTCTCCAACTCATTTTACAGATGAGGAAACTGAGGCAAACAGAGTTAAGTGACTTGCTGAGGATCACACAGCTATTAAGTATCTGAGGTCAAATTTGAACTCAGGTCTCCCTGACTCCAGGCCCAGTGCTCTATCCACTGTGCCAGCTGGTTGCTGTTGCAAGAGGTGCACATTGCTAATAAGCATTAGAGGTAGGATTTGAACCCAAGTCCTTCTGACTTCAAGCTCAGAAGTATATTCACTATGCCATGATGATGATGATGATGATGACGATGATAGTGAGTGATGGTGATAATAATATTAGTAATAATAGATTTCTGTAGCTTTCTAAGGTTTATAAAATAGCCTTTGAAGTAGGGAGTGCAAACAGCATTTTAGAGAGAAGGAATCCAAGGTTCAGAAGTAGATTGACTCAGCAGAAGTCACATAGCCATTAAGTCAGACTCTCTGCTACACCAGGCTATCTTAGTCTCCTTCCTGTGCCTCTTTTTTTATGGGTCTCTCTAAACATGGCCTTAAATTCTGTTAAGTACTAGGTAGATAATGCAGTTCTATACAGTACCTTAAAAGGCTGACGTTACCAAGCAAGTAGCCATTACTAATCACAGAGCCATGGGAGAGGTCAACAAGCTAAGATGAGAAAAAAAATAAAATGAGTTAGAAATGAGAATTGTCTTGAGCGTACAGGTTACAAAATAGTTTCATAGGATGTCTTGAGCAGGAAGCTTTCTTCTCTACAGTCTGGCCCCATCCTATTGAATCTAGCCCCATTTTCCTCTCAAACTGACCCTCCGTTACAGTTAGGCAGACTTCATGTTTCGCTATGCTTGAAGTGCTTCCTCATTCTCTTCACCAACCAAATTACCATCCTTCCTTCGAGGCCCAGCTTAAATGATAGGATTTAGAGCTGGAAGGGGTGTCAGCAATTATCTAGTCCATCCCCCTTATTTTATAGATGAGGCCCAGACAAGATACATAAGCTGTCCCAGGCCATGCAGCAGATAAGCTACAGAATTGGGATTCAAGCCAGGGTTTCCGAATCCCCCTTCTTTCCACTGCTGCTGAGGTCTCTTCTGGCCTCTCCTCGTGACTCATTTGCCTGCCTTTCAGGGTCACTGAATCAGAACTCTCTTCTCAATACTCACCGAAGTTATTGTAGCAGTCTTGACACCATTCTCCTTCACATCAGAGTGGATATTTAATTGGGCCCTTTCGTTGTCCAGTTTATAGCTTATCATCTTCAGTTTAATTTCCCCTTCTTTTGACTGTTCATGAAAAGAAAGTAACACGGAGTATGAAGATGAAGAAGGATTGTTAATACAACCAAGAGTAATTTTTAAAAAAATGTTATTGATGTCTTCTGTTTTTATAACATTTCCCAATGTATCCTTCCCCAGAACCCCTCCAAGAGAGCAATCTGTTATAACAATAATAAGAAAGAGGGGAAGAAAACAGTTCAGCAAAACTAACCACCACATTGAAAAAGTCCAATGTAGTGTGTGCTTTAAACCCATAACCTCCCACCTCTACAGTGAAGGGAGTATGGAATCTATTCATACGAAGATGCTATGTAGTGTAGTAGATAGGAAGATTTGAGTTTAAACACTGCCTTAGATGTTCAGTAATTTGGTGACCCTGGGAAAGTCACTTCTCCTAACCTTAGCATTCTCACCAGTGAAATGAAGATAAAAGCACCCTACCATACAGGGTTCCGAGACTCAAATGACATAATATATCTAAAGCACTATGTAAATTATTATTCTGTCATCCTTTGGTGCCAAACGTGGGTCATTATAATTTAACAGCAATCAATTGTAATTATATATGTTGTTTCCATTTACATCATTATAGATATTATATATTGTTTTCCTGGTTCTTCTTACTTCACTTTGCACCAGTTAAGAGAAGTCTTTCCATGCTTTTCCACAGTCACCATATTTATTGTTTCTCATAGTTCAGTAATATCCCGTTATATTCATGTACCACAACTTGTGTAGACATTCCCCAATTGATGGGCATATACTTTATTTAATCAATAATGATTTCACCTTGCTTTTATATGTAGTCTTTTAAACCTTTCAAAGCACTTATTTGATACTTGAAAGAGCCACAATTTCATCTTTTTGCTTCCATTTACATAGATCAAAACCCCTTAAGAATTTCTGTGACCGGGGTAGCTAGATGGTGCAGTGGATAGAGCACTGGCTTTGGATTCAGAAAGACCTGAGTTCAAATTTGGCCTCAGACACTTGACACTAGCTGACCCTGGGTACCCCTTTGCCTCTCAAAAAAAAAAAAGAATTTCTGTGACCAAAAAATTCAATCAACAATCTTTTGGTAATGAGCTTCTCCATACTTACCTAGGCTGGCCTTTGAAAGACGGACACTCAGTATGTCACTGGCATCATATTCCAAGTCTTGGCTCAATAAGACCTCTGACAGCTTTAGTGCCTTTAGTGCACATAGGGTTGTGCCCATACCACAATAAGATGAGGGACTTTAGTACATTTATTCATATGTTCTCCTTTAATCCTCACAACTACATAATGTCAACGTTATTATCCCTATTTGCCAAATGGCTAAACTGAGGTTCAGCCAGATTAAGTGACTTTTCCAACGTCACACAGGAATGGAATGCAAAAGATGGGCCAGAGCCTAGATCTCTTGAGTTCCTAGTTCAGTGATTTTTCAATACTGCTGCACTGTCTATCATTAAGATAGCTTAGCCTTTTTATTACTAGGGAACCCTCAAGGCGTGCCTAGAACTTTGTCCCTAGCAAGACAAGATTCTTGTGACATTCCCACCTATTCACAATAGATGCACAGCCACAGGAAGGAAAGCTCTCATCATGCCCTCTCAGCCTGGTCCCCTGAGGTATTAAAGTTCAGGACCTCCACAATCTGGCACCATATTTGCTCTCTAGTCTTTCGTATTGTTCTTCTACTTTGGCCAAGCTAGATTTCTCTTCTGTCTGAAAACATTCTGCATCAGCCTGGCTCCGTGACTTTGATCATGCTGTTCTCTGCCTACAGTTCTCTCCTTTCTTTTCTTTGCCTGTCAAATACTAACTGTCCTTCAAATTTCGATCAGATGTCATTTCCTTCATGAAGCCTTCCCTGATCTCTTCCCACCATGGTTGTAATGCAGTTCCCCCTCACACGGCACAGTGTTATACCTCTCTTTGATGTACTTATCATGTATCATTGTGCGTTAATGATATGTATTTGTATCTTTGCCTCTCGCTAGACTGTGAGCTCTACTAGGGCAGAAACTGGATCTTTTCTAAACTTTGTACTTTCTTCAGTACCTGAACAGTAGTCGCTTAATAAATGTTTAATAAAAGAAGGAATGAGTGGGCATGTCTGAGTATAATTGATTTTCTCATTTAGCATACTGGCCATTAGGTCCCAATGGGTCTGGTGAAATTCACAGAGAAAAAAAATACAGAATGCCATCCTTTTATGATGTCTCTACATTAGAATCTCTTTGAGAATTGTTAAAGAACCAAGCAAAGAGAAAAGAGAATAACCTCACTTGAAAGTCTCTTGGAAGGAAGAGTTTGTGCTGGGACATGTAGTTGGAGAAAGACGGAGGAAGATGGTAAACTGAAAAGGCGAATCAGATTTCATTTTGGAACTTAGGGCTGTTAGTACATTGCTTCTATCCATTATTTTTCTTTTGGTCTTTCCAAATAACTACTTTTTAAAAGAGACCCTGCATTATTTTCGTGCTATTTGTCTCTGATAAGGGCCTTCCAATCACCTGTTAGGACATATGTAAAGTATTTTGCAAACCCTTTTAGCTATCTAAATGGTGGTGTGGTAGTAGTAGTGGTAGTAGACAATAGTACATGGTACATAGTGGTAGTGAGATCAACAGTTGGACTTCGGTTTATACCAAAGTTTGTTAAGTAGACTTAGTTACATAGTTTCTAGAGCTGAAAGGAACCTCAGAGATCATCTAATCTCACCCCCTCACTTTACAAATGAGAAAACTAAGACACAAGAGACTTACCCAAGGCCACATAGGATGAATGGAAAAAAGAGAAAGGAAAAAAGAAAGAAAGGTAAGAAGATAGGAAGGTAGGAAGATAAGGAGGGAGGGAGCGAGGATGGAAGGAAGGCAGGAAGGCAGGCAGGCAGGCAGGGAGAGAGGGAGGGAGAGAGAGGGAAGGGAGGGAGGGGAGGGAGGACGGAAATGAGGAAGGAAGGAAGGGAGGAAGGGAGAAGGAACGTGGTAGATGCTATTATTATCCCAAGTTTACAGTTGAGACTGAGAAAGAGGTTTTTCCAGCTTGCCCAGGGTCACACAGCTACAGTGAATGAGATCAAATTTGAACTCAGGTCTTCCTGACTACAGTTCCAGCACTGTCTCCACTATGCCATCTAACTGAGATGGTAAATTAAAGCACAGGGCCCTGAACTCAGGCTTGCCAACTGAATGCAGGCCCTTTTCTGTAACACTATTCCATCTTGAAGAGATTTAAAAAAATAGCCTTCTGAGCTGAGTTCAGAAGGAAAGGGCCCAGTTCCCTTTGGAAACCATTGTTGACAATGCTTACCTTTACAGAGCTTTCCTTTCCAACATCAGTAACTAGTGCCTTGACTATGCTGGAAGAGAGTACCAGAGAAACATCAACATCTTCAGGGATCGGAGGAGAAGGGCCACCAGCCACAGGGATTGTCTTATCTCTAGAATTGATCTCGGCCTAGACAGAGACAGCGAATCATTACTTCAGGTTCTAAGCAACGTGTCTATTTGGTTGGATATTGCTTGGATATTACTCTGATTCTATTATTCTGCACGACCCAGCTTAGCCTTATCCTTGAGGACCTTTGGGAAATCAAGGAAAACTCAGCTACCAAGCTTAGATAAAGAGATACAATGCATTTTAGATGCACTGCACTGCACTGCACTGCCCCCAAATCCATCTCCAAGGGTTCAGCAGGGACTATAATTCTAAACTACCTCAACAGTCCTATGAAAAGAAGGCTTTGAAGTGCTAACCAAAGACTTAGGGTGGAAGTAAAAGAAACACCCCAAAGTCAATTCCCAAACTGCCCTTGTGGTATTAGTGAATTATAGATCTCTGGCTTTGTCTGACTTTCCCAAACCCCCATTAAAATCTCTACTTGGAATGCTAGAACAATTGTGGAGATTGGTTCAGGTGTCACAAGTCTTAACCTGGCATTCAAAGATCTTTGTCATCGGACACTAGATGACACCACTTTGTTCCAGGCAGTTCTGTTTTCTTGCCGTGCCTCAAATATCATGCTCTGTCTCCTCTCTGTGTCCTGTCCCTCCACGTCCCCCACCCCAACCTGGAAAGTTGTCCCCTTCCTGTCTCCTTTTCCAAATCCTGCCTAACTCCAGTCACCTATCCTTCATGTAGTCTTCCCTTTTACCCTAGGGCCCCCTAGTTTCTGCCACTCTTGACTTCCTATGAAATCACAGCTCATAAGATTTGGTGCTGTAAGAGACCTTAGAGACTGCCAAGTCTAACTCCAGAGGCTCAGAGAAGGGCTTGTCTAGACCATACAGATAGAAAGTAATAGATGTATAAATTTGAAGCCAGGTTCTGACTCCAAATCCAGTTCTCTACATTGTATGGCCTTAATGTAGCCAAGCTACCAAATTTGGGATTTTCCACAGATAGCATCAATTATAAATAATCTATCCAATTTTATTGAGTATTCTCCTCCTAGTCATTTTATTCTTTAAATAAAAGATTCAGCACAATTAATTTTTTTAAATGTTTGTAAGATTTCTTATATAAATAAATCTGCACATCAAAGAAAAGAATCAATCAGATTATATGCCTTGAATTTCAATTTGGAAAATATGGGCACTTGCATATTGAATATAGACATTGCAAAATTTGGCAGTTACTGGTTTTTGTGCATAAGATTTATTTCTTTAACCAGATTGTAAACTCCTCCAGGGCTGGGTCTACCAGCTGTTCTTTGCTTTTATCCCCCTCTACCCTCCCCACAAACTTGGCACTAACCTGGGGGCATCATCAGTATGCACTCATTGATTGATTTCCATCTCAGCTACTTGTTTAATCCATCATGGGGGAAATTGAATAATTTGGTAATCTGGTGTGGCTACTCCTGATGTTTGCCAAGTGCCTCAGAATTGAAGCAAGTTAGGATGCTCAGCAAGCTGGGCCCTTATTAAAGGAATAGGGACCAGACAGGAGAAGGGCCTAGCTTCCTATTCTGGCAGGAAATATTTCTTTATCTTACAAGAGCATCCAGTTTTCATCTCATTGTTGTATGAAAAATAACACTTACACAGTAGGCAACCAGAAGGCCTTTGGAGGTGAAATTCACGGTTTTTTGATGGTAATTAAATAAAATTCCCATACCAGGTACAGTTGCTTCTGTCAGACACAGAAAAAAAGAATGTTAGAGCCTTGTCAACAAAGATTAAGCAGCCACTGAGTTGGGGGGGCGGTTTACATTCAAAATCCTTTATTTTTGTTTTTGTTGGGTTTTTTGAGCAGGCAATGGGGTGAAGTGACTTGCCCAGGGTCACGTAGCCAATAAGTGTCATGTGTCTGAGGCCAGATTTGACCTCAGGTCCTCCTGACTCCAGGGCCAGTGCTCTATCCACTGTACCACCTAGCTGCCCCCATTCAAAATCATTTTGCTGAAGGATAAACAATCACAACAGCTGATATTTATAACAAGCTTAGCTCATTGAGCCCAATCCCAGAGATCATAAGATCATATATTTCAAGCTAGAAGAGACATTAAGGGGTCATGATAATAGCACTTTAAGGTTCGCAAAGAATTCTTAGGTATCTCATTTGATCTTCACAACAAGTCTAGGTTGTTGTTGTGTTTTGTTTCAGTCATATCTACCTCTTCATGACCCCATTTGGGGTTTTCTTGGTGGGGATCCTGGAGTGGTTTGCCATTTCCTTCTCCAGCTCATTTTACAGGTGAGGAAACTGAGGCAAACAGGGTTAAGTAACTTACCCAGGGTCACACAGCTAGTAAGTATCTGAGGGCAAATTTGAACTCAAGAAGATGAGTCTTCCTGACTCTAGGCCCAGCACTCTATCCACTGTACCATCTACCTGTCCCTATTAGTCCGATACCCTCATTTTCAGATGAAGAAATGGAACCCCAGAGAATGATTGAAGCAACTTGCCCAAATTCACACAGGTAATAGTCATAGCAACCTGTTGCCCATAGGACAAAAGTCTGAACTCCTTAGCTTAGCCAGGATCTGATACCAATGAACTGCCCATTCATTCATTCAATGAACACTTGAATACTTCCTGTGTTCTAGGCATTATATAACCTTTTGGAGATTTCCCTTCCTAAACCCTTTATTCCAGCCAAGCTGATGGACTCTCTTGTACACCTTGTATTTTTTCACCTCAGCTTTTGCTCAGAGCCTTCTCTCACATCTTTTACCTCCCCCACCCCTTCCATCTAAACAAATCTAAATCATTCTTCTAAACTCTGTCTTACTAATTTTGTTTCCCTCCCAGGGCTAAGCACTGGGCTCTATACACAGTAAATACTTGTTACTTTTTCTTTTCTTTCTTTTTTGGATTATATTGTTTTATTAGGTAGTAGAAGTTCAGTAACTATGTTGAATTATTGATTTCAGTACGTCTGTGGGCAGAACGCAACTTCAGCCAGGTGATCTTGCACATATGCATGTTTACATTCATACATTATGCCAATTATTTATTAAACTCCTATTGTGTGCAGTATATTGATCGATCAACTAGAATCTCAGCATCAGCCCCAACAATTTGTATTCCCCAAAATGGGAATGACTGACACAATAGTAACCACTCTGGATGGCCGGCCGCTTATCAAGATGTAGACCGTAGAGCCATGGGGTTGGAACCTTTAGAATCTTCTAATCCAGATATATCAAGCACAAAACCAGCAGGCTGCAGTGTGGCAAGTACCACCTGAGGCAGATTAAAATGTCATTGGGAAAAATTTAAAAAAATAAATAAAAACACAATAAAACATAGATAATGTTAATTTGTGGTTTTCCAAGTCAACACATGGGCCACTAGGACTCTCATGTGTGATTTAGTGGTCCTCATTTCTATTTGGGTTTGACATCACTGATCTAGTGCAACCCCTTCCTTTTACAGAGGAGGCCCTTGATATGTGCAGAGAGGGAAAGGGCCCTTTTTTAGTCACATGGTTCATCAGGGGCAGAGCCAGACCTGGATTCTAATATTCTGTGACCCAAGACAGTGTTATTCCTGCTCACTGGGAGGAAGAACATTTTAGAAAAAGGGTTCTTCACCTGAGTTCCATGAATCCCTAGAAGGTCCATCAGTAGATTTCCCTTGGATGGGGAAAAATTACCTTTGTTTTTTTTTACTAACCTCTAACTGAAATCTAATATTCCCTTCAAAAACACAATTCTGAGAAGGGGTCCATAGACTTCACCAGACTGCCAAAGGAATCTAGGACACGCCAAAAGGATTAAAAACCTCTGGTTTAGAGAACTTCTGAAGCACCAGCTTGTGAAGTTGCTGCTGCACTAGGCATCGAAAGACCTGCATTTGAATCCCACCTCATGTACTTCTTGGATGGACAATTCACCGAACCTTTCTAAACCTGTTTCCTTCTCTACAGAATGGGAACAATAATGCTCATACTACCTGACACAGCTGGGAAAAAGAAGTGCTTTGTAAACCTGAAAGCCTTGTAGGAATGACAGAGCTCAAAACCTCTTAGGACCTCTTTGGCTTTTACATTGATTTCATAACCGTTATCTTTAGTCCATGTAATGAGGACTCAGAGTCGTCAGAGACATTTCATCATTTGAGATCGGCCAGCCAGTGTGTTTGGATTTGTGCCACTCACCATTTATGCACGTAGGATTCTTTAAAGTAAGGTCACACTCTCCTTCCTGTAACATAGACACACAGTGGGGCTTCAGGGAAGACAGACTGAGAATGTCAGAGTTTAAAGAGACCTCCGAGGCCAGCCAATCCAGCTCCCAATCAAATAAACATCCCTTCTACAACGTGCCCAATAAGAGGCCCCCAGCCTTTGCTTGGAGAGCTCCATTGAAGACAAAATCTATCACTTCCCAAACTAGCCAGTACTCACTTGTAGGAAGCTGTTGGTTTGTATTCCTGAAATCCAGCCTAAATCTACCCCTTAGCATTGGCCCTGTCACTCCTTGTTTTCCCCTTGAGGGCCCAAGCAGAGCAAATCTAATCCCCCTTTCACAGGACAACCCTTCAAAAGACAGCTACCATGTTGCCCTTTTCTTCTCTCGGCTAAACAGCTCTAGTTCCTTCATTCATCCTCATTTGGTATACATTGAAGGCCCCTCACTACCCAGGTCACCCTTCTCTGGATGCTTTCCAACCTTCTTATAATGTAGCCCCCAGAACTGAATACAGCACTCCGGATGTGGTCTCATGAGACGAGAGTACAGTGGCATTTTGATCTCCCCTATTCCTGAACACCATTCCTTTCTTCATTCAGCCTATAATCTCATGAGCTGATGGGGCTGCCATGCCATGTTACACTATCGACTTTTACTAGGCTTTCATTCTACTAAAAGAAAACAGAGTAACAACAAACACCAACCCTCCAGTTTGTTGAAAGGGCTGTTTTATCTGGTTTAGAGATTGAGGTTAAGAATAGGAAGCCAAATGCCTCACCCTAGCATGGGTAGACTGTGAGAACGGTATCCCTGAGGTATTTTGAAGCCAGCCATCATGACCTGAAAATCTGCATCTCTTTCTTGTCTTTAGATCTTCTATTCTATCTCATCTTTCCTTCAGTTTGCTGGTACCTGCTCCCAAACTAGGTGTTACTTCAGGGTGATCCCTAGGTTTAAGGCAGGTGACTTTTAACCTAGGACCTTATATGAGGCTTAGTCACTAAACTCAGGTTGTCAGTGGGCCAGGCCTGATGAGACACCCGCTGTATGCCCTTACCTGGCCAAGCGGCATGCATAACCCTGAGGGGGTACCCTGTAACTTACCGGAGGTGACACGTTTACCATCAGCATTGCGGATGCGATTGAATCCAGTGGAATTGATATTGGTGCCTCCAATTCTCTTTTGATCCTGGAAAAGCAAAGAGGTGGGCTCTTTGTGCTTTTAGCACAGGTACCCAGAAACCCACTGGGTAAGGGAACAAGCCCTCCTGATTCATACTGCTTTATTGAATGCCCTAACATTTAGGCATCAGAGTCCCTAAATTGCCTTCTACCCACCTGCAATTCCCCACATGTAGAAAGAGCATTGAACTTGTAGTCAGAGGACCCAGATTTGAATTCTGTCTCTGCTCCTTATTAGCTATGTGAACTTGTGTATGGCCTGGCCTCAATTTTCTCCTCCATATGACAGGGCTGGAATAGGTCGGCGGGTCTCAAAATATGATCCAAGGACTCCCAGTGGCCTCTGAGACCTGGGAGTCCATGAGATCAAAATTATTTTTATAATGATGCCAGATCTAGTCCCTTTTCCACCCTACAGTGCTATTATGAAGAAGGCCCCTTGTAAACCGTAAAACCTACAAATGTTAGCTATTCTATTGACATTCTACATTCCGTATTTTGAGATTGCTCCCTGCCCTGACGTTCTAGTTTGTCAGCTCCTTTGCTGCTCTGACATTTTGTATTGTAAGGTACCTTCCAGATTGGCCATTCTATGGTTCTAAGATTCAGTTCTGATCCTCTTTGGAAGAACCAAAGGGGTTGCTACAAATGAATGAAAATTTCTCCTACTCACCTATCAATTAGTTTAATTTTAATCTCTTCAACTTTCATTGCTTTTTCCAGGACTGCAAAGAACGTACATATGGTACCATTTTTATCCGGACCAATTATCAGTTGCACTGTAGCTCCCACTTGGAAGTGCAGTAGGTCTGTGGCAGAACCCAGCAAGCTAAAGAAGAAGCAAGATTTAGGTTAAAATGTATCATTAGTAAGCAACTACTTGTTAGTCCAGAGTACAGGCAGACCATGAATCTTCCAGTTAAATTCATGCATCTTCCTAGCATATTTTCAGCCAGCTATAATCATGGCCTGACCTTGATTACCATGTAAGAAAAACACAAATCAGGCAAAGTTAACACCTTGAATTTTTAAAGGGGAATGTGAGCCTTGGCACAAGATTGGAGCTATATGAACATGAAAGGGCAAGGATCCCCACGGGACCCATCTGCCTCTTACATGAATCTAATGCTGAAGGAATTCACCTTTAGGTATAATATTTAAATTTTTGGCATAACATTTATGTTTTGTGGCATTTTTGTGACCTAAATATAAGTCTTTTTTTTCTAGAAAGGGGGCATTTTGTTTTCAAGGTATGATTTTAAAAGTCATTCATAGGCACAACTTTGATGACATTATTGGTCTGCTTTAAAAAAAAAACCTGTGGAACAAGTTTATGCTCTTATAATTGAAATCACTGGATCATGGGAATCAAATTGTAGAAGTCCATTACATAGTAGAAACATTAAGAATCCCTTTTTGTAAAGTAAGATAGCCAGCTATTGCCTGTGTCAGGAGCAAAAGGGTCTTCCTTTGCTCACAGTCAATGTAAAATTCTTCAGGCCAATGGCGGAGTCAAGAGAGTCTGCCAATATTCGTAACTTCATTTTGGGAGACTTGCCACGCTTTAAGCTACAGGATGATAACATCTTTGCATGCCAAATCCAATACCCATTTTAAAAAAGACCATTGGAAACCTTTGAGATTTTCACTAATGAAGAGGGGGGAGGGGGGAACCCCCTCAAGATCAAAATATTTTAAGGGAACTTAGATCCTTTTAACCCATGGAAAGGTAGTATGAATAGGACAATAGGTTGTAACATAATACTACATACTGACTTCCTAAAGTAGCACTATGTGAATGTTTTTTCTTGTTTCTGTCCAAACACTCAGTTCACTAAACATTGCTTAAGTGCCTGCAATGTGAGAAGCACTGGGGATATAGAGACAAACAGAAAAGGCTTTGGAGCTTCCATTTTTCTGTTTGTGTCTGGGAAGGGTGGCTACATAAAAATAAGTAAATATAAGATAATCTGAGGAGGGAAGGAGTACTAACCTTTGGCCGGACCAAGGACAGCTTTATTGGAAGGTAGCATTGAGGATTCTAAGAGGTGGAGGTGAGCGAAGGCCTTGCAGGCCTGGGTGAATGGAGGGAGGTGGAGAATGGAGTGTTGAGTTCAGGAAACAAAAACTCTCAGGTTCTAAGTTGTTAAGGTGTAAGGACAGTGGTTATGGCAATGACATTGGGCAGTTAAGGACCACATAATGGTTTGTAAGAAGAAATTAATTGCCATTGCAGTGTTTTATCAGCAGGGATTGAACCTTGGTAGATGAGGTTGATAAGAACAATGGAGGATTGTAATGGAATGAGGCAGAAAGGAACCTACTCATCCGATCCACTTATGTCTGCTTCAACATAGGCTTGGACATTTATGAAACTGTCCTCTGTTGTTGTAGTCATATTCTTTATAACAATATCGCTGGCATGAAGACTGCAAGGCAACAAGACAGAGAGTCAGAAGAAACTTAGGGGAATGGATTCTCCAAGGAGGGGGGAGGCACCTTTACAGGGCCTAATTAACATCTTCTTAACCCAACTCCACTGGGCATATTTTAAGGATTTGTAGAAGGGATAAGTCTTTAAAATCCCTGAGTCCTTTCTTACTTCCCTCCCTCCTCCAAATTACACAGAAAATCCCTGATCTCTGATGAGATTTCTAACTAGGGAACCAATTTTGTAGTACAGAACTTGGCTTTAGTTTGAGTAGATTATAATATGGGGTGGGAGTGGGTAGAGAGCAGAGAGGGGGAAGTTCAGGCCTTCTATTTCCTCACTGTAGGAAATTCCCTCCATGATGCAGATCAGCAACTGATTTATAGCTTATTGTCTCAGAGAGTTGTTTGAGACCTTAAGTCTCATGGTCACAGAGCTACTTTGCATCAAAGTAGGGCTTGGAACCCAGGTCTTCCTATGTCCAAGACCAGCTTTCTACCCACTCTGCTATGTGGCTTTTCAGATTGTAGATTTCTTCAATGTAAACTCAGCAAGGATAAAGTCTATGCTTTACAGAGTGACTGATTCCCAGAACATTAAGGACCTGAAGGGCCATCATAGCTGAGAAGGAAACCTCCTATAAGAGGTGATCAGCCTTCTGCTGGCATAACTCCTGTAGCTGGGAGCCCATGGTCTCTGAGAACAATCCTTTCTGATTTTAGCCTTACCTCTGCTAAGACTGTGCATCTCAGGAACTTCCCTTCATGGTCTAACTAGGAATAGTTATCCTCCCTGGGACCCAGCACGGTAAGTCACACCCCTGTGCTCTGTAACAGCCTTTCTAATACTCAAAACTAGCGATCGGCTTCCCCTCTTTGCAAATATTTTCTTTTCCAAGTTAATCATCCTCTGTTTCTTCTACTGATCCTCCCAGTAGTGTGGTTTCTAGTCCCCTCTGCCACTTGCCATGGCCCAAGGCAAGCCCCTCCCTGTCCTCACTCTACCCCACCAGATCCCAGTCTCCACATCTGAAGAGAAATGGAGGGCAGGTGATCCCAAGGTGCTCTTTAGCTTCAACAGTAAATTATTTTAAAACTTAAAAGTGACCATCACCTGAAAATCCATCCCATTGCTGGATAGCTCTGATTATTACAAACTTTTCCTTCCTTATATCAAGTTTCAAATCTACCTCCCTGGAGCCTATTGTCCAAGTTCTGCCCTGCTGGAGCTGCCCAGCCCATCCAAAATTGCGTCTTTGTCTATCTCCCAGCATGGTATTCTACACATGATTAGTGTTTAATAAATGGCTGTTGAAGGAATGAATGACTGAATGTGGGCATTGGTTTGTTGGAAAAATAGCTTTTCCTTTAAACATGTACATTGTCTCCACTGTAAAATGAGGGAATAGGCTAGATGGTCTCAAAAATGTCTTCTGGCTCTCATATTTTACAGCTCTCTGCTTTTAGGGATTTTGTGATAAATTCAGTTTCAGAGAAATGTGGACCTGGTGCCCAAAGGGACTTTCCCCAAGCCAGTGAAGCAAATGTTTACATGAATAAAAACAAATCTGAAATCAGAGTCCAGGCCCAGTCCTTGCCCATATCTTCCTCTCCACCTACACACCTTTCTTCCTCGTCTCTTCATATTCCCCTAGAAAATTCACCAGCCTTTTGACCTTGAGAAGAACTCAAGAATATCTCTTCCATGCATCATTCCCCCCCCCATCTAGCTACTGACTTCAGAAGATCCATTTACCTCTCTACCAAGATACTATTCATTTACACAAATGGGACCTACTTCTTCTGCCCTAAGCTTAGTTAAAATTTAAGCTTAGGATCACAGAGTCTCAGATCTGGAGGAGACCTTAAAGACTTTCTCGTCCCACTCATATTTGAACAAGAATTCTTTCCAGATGGCGCAAGTGGATCATCTATCTTCCGCTTTGATTAAGTAGGGAACCTTGCTCCCCCCAATCCCTCCCCCACCCCAGGGGCCTCTTCTACCATTTAGATGACTCTCCTAAATTCTGCTTTGTATGGAAATCTAATCCCTTCTCCACAGACCAGACCTTTAAATACTATAGATAGCTATCATGGCCCACTCAGTCATCCTTTCTCCAGGCTAAACCTGTTGGCAGCACTAAGTAAGTAACCAATCAATCAGTATGCTTTCTGGCTAAGGAGTTGACTTACTTTAGATCCAGTTTTTCAAGTACATGACCCATCTTCACCGGGTTTTCTTGTAAGGCACCCAGGTCCACACCAGATATTTCATTTGGACCTGAAGAGGCAGCTTTTTTAATTGTATTTGCTAGATCTTCACTTTTGTCTAACCCGTGGCTTCCAAGCAAATCACCAGAATTCTTTCCTTCCAGTGTCTTTCCACTTTCACTCAGTGCATTTTTTGCTCCTCCAAAAGCAGCCATCAGGTTGTGGGGTAACAAACTACTTTCCCCTGGAAAACCATCAGGCAGAGAATTGAGAGGGAGACCAGGCATACCACCAATGGGAAGAGGAAGAGGATTCACCAAACCAAAGAAGGGGCTGCTATCTCCTCCTAGACCTAGTACACTCTCGAGCAGCCCCTTGAACGCCATTGACTCCAAAGCCATTTTAAGGATTCCTGTCAACTTGATTTCAGCACACTTGACAAAGTCTTTAATAGCTTCTGGGATAGTGTCATTCAGATCTGAAAAGAGTGAAGGAAATCAGGTTTACATAGGACAAGTGTTGAGTCCCATGTGGCATCCCCATCTTCGCTTAGTGAGTATTTCCACCATTTAGGGGTAGGACTCAAGGTAGAGAGAGGAGTGGGTGTATTTGGTGACTGTTCCTGAGAATCTCAGAAAACAGAAATGACTCGGTAAAGAAGTTGGTATGGAAAGGAGGGTCTCATACGGATACCCAGCTTGAAAGTACTAAATCAAACCATCTAGTCTAGGGGTGGGGAACCTGTGGCCTTGAGGCCACATGTGGCCTTCTAGCTCCTTGGGTATGGCCTTTTGACTGAGTCCAAAAACAAATCCTTTTATTAAGAAGATTTGTTTTGTGAAGTTTGGATTTAGTCAGAGGGCCACATACAAGGACCTAAAGGACCACATGTGGCCTGGAGGTCACAGGTTCCCCACCCTGATCTAGTCCAACCCATCCTCGAGTGAGGATCTTCTCTCTCACACCCCTGACAACACTGCCTCTGGAAGCATTCGATTCCGCTTGGAGGGCAGTTCTTGCTGCGAGGGATTTTTTTCTGGACATCACACCAACACCTTTCCTTCTGTAGCTTTTCTCCTTTGCTCTTTATTCTGAATCCAGGACCA